ACCATGTTTTTGGACATATACCATGATAGTACCATGTTTTTGGACATATACCATGATAGTACCATGTTTTTGGACATATACCATGATAGTACCATGTTTTTGGACATATACCATGATAGTACCATGTTTTTGGACATATACCATGATAGTACCATGTTTTTGGACATATACCATGATAGTACCATGTTTTTGGACATATACCATGATAGTACCATGTTTTTGGACATATACCATGATAGTACCATGTTTTTGGACATATACCATGATAGTACCATGTTTTTGGACATATACCATGATAGTACCATGTTTTTGGACATATACCATGATAGTACCATGTTTTTGGACATATACCATGATAGTACCATGTTTTTGGACATATACCATGATAGTACCATGTTTTTGGACATATACCATGATAGTACCATGTTTTTGGACATATACCATGATAGTACCATGTTTTTGGACATATACCATGATAGTACCATGTTTTTGGACATATACCATGATAGTACCATGTTTTTGGACATATACCATGATAGTACCATGTTTTTGGACATATACCATGATAGTACCATGTTTTTGGACATATACCATGATAGTACCATGTTTTTGGACATATACCATGATAGTACCATGTTTTTGGACATATACCATGATAGTACCATGTTTTTGGACATATACCATGATAGTACCATGTTTTTGGACATATACCATGATAGTACCATGTTTTTGGACATATACCATGATAGTACCATGTTTTTGGACATATACCATGATAGTACCATGTTTTTGGACATATACCATGATAGTACCATGTTTTTGGACATATACCATGATAGTACCATGTTTTTGGACATATACCATGATAGTACCATGTTTTTGGACATATACCATGATAGTACCATGTTTTTGGACATATACCATGATAGTACCATGTTTTTGGACATATACCATGATAGTACCATGTTTTTGGACATATACCATGATAGTACCATGTTTTTGGACATATACCATGATAGTACCATGTTTTTGGACATATACCATGATAGTACCATGTTTTTGGACATATACCATGATAGTACCATGTTTTTGGACATATACCATGATAGTACCATGTTTTTGGACATATACCATGATAGTACCATGTTTTTGGACATATACCATGATAGTACCATGTTTTTGGACATATACCATGATAGTACCATGTTTTTGGACATATACCATGATAGTACCATGTTTTTGGACATATACCATGATAGTACCATGTTTTTGGACATATACCATGATAGTACCATGTTTTTGGACATATACCATGATAGTACCATGTTTTTGGACATATACCATGATAGTACCATGTTTTTGGACATATACCATGATAGTACCATGTTTTTGGACATATACCATGATAGTACCATGTTTTTGGACATATACCATGATAGTACCATGTTTTTGGACATATACCATGATAGTACCATGTTTTTGGACATATACCATGATAGTACCATGTTTTTGGACATATACCATGATAGTACCATGTTTTTGGACATATACCATGATAGTACCATGTTTTTGGACATATACCATGATAGTACCATGTTTTTGGACATATACCATGATAGTACCATGTTTTTGGACATATACCATGATAGTACCATGTTTTTGGACATATACCATGATAGTACCATGTTTTTGGACATATACCATGATAGTACCATGTTTTTGGACATATACCATGATAGTACCATGTTTTTGGACATATACCATGATAGTACCATGTTTTTGGACATATACCATGATAGTACCATGTTTTTGGACATATACCATGATAGTACCATGTTTTTGGACATATACCATGATAGTACCATGTTTTTGGACATATACCATGATAGTACCATGTTTTTGGACATATACCATGATAGTACCATGTTTTTGGACATATACCATGATAGTACCATGTTTTTGGACATATACCATGATAGTACCATGTTTTTGGACATATACCATGATAGTACCATGTTTTTGGACATATACCATGATAGTACCATGTTTTTGGACATATACCATGATAGTACCATGTTTTTGGACATATACCATGATAGTACCATGTTTTTGGACATATACCATGATAGTACCATGTTTTTGGACATATACCATGATAGTACCATGTTTTTGGACATATACCATGATAGTACCATGTTTTTGGACATATACCATGATAGTACCATGTTTTTGGACATATACCATGATAGTACCATGTTTTTGGACATATACCATGATAGTACCATGTTTTTGGACATATACCATGATAGTACCATGTTTTTGGACATATACCATGATAGTACCATGTTTTTGGACATATACCATGATAGTACCATGTTTTTGGACATATACCATGATAGTACCATGTTTTTGGACATATACCATGATAGTACCATGTTTTTGGACATATACCATGATAGTACCATGTTTTTGGACATATACCATGATAGTACCATGTTTTTGGACATATACCATGATAGTACCATGTTTTTGGACATATACCATGATAGTACCATGTTTTTGGACATATACCATGATAGTACCATGTTTTTGGACATATACCATGATAGTACCATGTTTTTGGACATATACCATGATAGTACCATGTTTTTGGACATATACCATGATAGTACCATGTTTTTGGACATATATCATGATAGTACCATGTTTTTGTACGTAGATCATGGTAATACCATGTTCCTTTGGACGTATACCATGATAGTACCATGTTTTTGTATGTATATCATGGTAATACAATGTTCTTCTTTGGACGTATACCATGATAGTACCATGTTTTTGGACATATACCATGATAGTACCATGTTTTTGTACGTAGATCATGGTAATACCATGTTCCTTTGGACGTATACCATGATAGTATCATGTTTTTGGACATATACCATGATAGTACCATGTTTTTAGGCGTATACCACGGGTTTTTGGATGTATACCATGATAGTACCATGTTTTTGGACATATATCATGGTAATACCATGTTCCTCTTTGGACATATACCATGATAGTACCATGTTTTTAGGCGTATACCACGGGTTTTTGGATGTATACCATGATAGTACCATGTTTTTGTACGTATATCATGGTAATACCATGTTCCTTTAGACGTATACCATGTTCCTTTTGGGTGTATACCACGTGTTTTTGGACATGTACGTTGAAAATACAGTGGTTTTGGATATGTCAATAGTGATACCATGTTTTTATACAAAAATGGTACTATCATTGTATTTTGGACATGTACCACTGTAGTACCATGTTTTTGGACATTTACCATGGTACTACAGTGGTTGTGGATATGTAAAACAATGGTAATAACATGTTATACAATATCATTGTATTTTGGTTGTCATGTAAATATCATGATACGTGAGTTTTGGTACAAATTGTATATTTAAAGTACCGTACTATTACGGATTTTCGTAACTAACATATGAAATACATATGCATTCTTATTTTTGTGAAGGAAGATCAGATACTTTAAAAACACTGACGTCTGCTGTCATAATGCAGGTCAAATTTCCTGTTTGGAGTGATTGACGACTGTCAGGGCAATATCATTGTATTTTGGTTGTCATGTAAATATCATGATACGTGAGTTTTGGTACAAATTGTATATTTAAAGTACCGTACTATTACGGATTTTCGTAACTAACATATGAAATACATATGCATTCTTATTTTTGTGAAGGAAGATCAGATACTTTAAAAACACTGAGGTCTGCTGTCATAATGCAGGTTCAAATTTCCTGTTTGGAGTGATTGACGACTGTCAGGGCGGCAGAATCATAATAATAATCTGGTAATTACATCATTAACGTTTAAAGTCGCTAATGAGCAAACACAGTTAACCAAACAGATCATCAGACTGTTGACGGATCATATACCTGAAACACAAAGGTCTTGAGTTCGAATCCTGACTCACACCGACTCCTTTTTGGACCCTAAAATTAATGCAATCGCATTCAATCAGAAACTTCAAAGCGTAGTGAACTTCCAGTGTTCATTTTATGCTTCCTAAATGAATCTCATCTGAAAAATAATGGGAGTTTGTGTTTAGTAAATGTTATTTTTGGCTTTTCAAGAATGTGTGATATGACGAACCAGACACTGACATTTGACCTGTCATGAAGATATTACCATGCATATGAACCTGTTGTTCTGCTGTTTTGGTGGTCATATGGTCTTGAGCATTGACTTTGCACCACACAGGCTGCTAGTTACCATTTTAACTAGGTAAATAACATGTCTTTGTTTTTCAGATAACGTGGAGCTTGTGTTGGACTCGGCTGCCATCCCGGAGTCTGGAACCGCCAAAGTGCGCTCGCGTCCAACTGTCAAACACTTCATGGTACGTCCCAAAACACGCCGATCACATGACCAGACTTCACCTATGAGATGGTTTCTAACTTAGTAGTAAAGTGAATTAAATCACTTACAAAAAGTATACCATAGCATTACCATGTTTTTTTTGGACATGTACTATGGTAACACTATCGGCTCCAAGCTACTTGGTACATATACAATGCAGTAATGGCTTTACTAGTGCAAATGTACAAAAATACAGGCTAAAACCATGGTACATTTCCAAAAAACAGGGTAAAACCATGGTACATTTCCAAAAAACGGGGTAAAACCATGGTTCACTTTTGTAAATGATCACTCTACCATAGTACTACCATGGTACTTTTTCCTGTAAACAAATTTTAAATGCTAGGGTCACTTACAAAATAAATACCATAGTAATAGTGTTTGTTTTGGACATGTAATGATACTACCATGGGCTCCAAGGTACTTCCAAAATACTTAATTCAATAATGGTTTTACTAGAGCAAATGTCCAAATAAACAGGTTAAAATCATGGTATACGTGTCTAAAAAAAACAGACTTAAACCATAGTACATCCAAAAAAACAGGGTAAAACCAAGATACATGTCCAAAAAGCAATGTTGGGTAAAACCATGGTACACTTTTGTAAATGATCACCGTAACACAGTACTTTTTGGTAAAGTTTTTAGTGTTGAGGTCACTAAAAAAAAAAGTATTACCCTGTTTTGTTGACGTGCCAATGTAATACTGTGTTTTTGCACATGGTACCATGGTATTATGTTGTTTTTGTACATGTATAGTAGTAACGCACTCTTTTTTGGAAATGTACTATGGTAATAACATGGTATTTTTAAGTACCTTGGAGTACCATGTAAATAACATGGTAATCCAATATACTTTCCGTATTACAGACACACAATCTGAATGCGTTTTGTTGCATCAACCACTGTACGTTTTGCATTTAATTCTTTCCTTGATAATAGAAGTCTTGAGAGAAATGTGCTGAAATCGTCCAGTACACACATTGCTAAAGACACACCTTTAGCTTCAGGACAAACACACCCTCGGTATATAAACACACTTTCACTTTTCACTCTGACAGAGTGTGTGTGCGCGCACACACACACACACACACATCATCAGTTTTGTGTTTGTATCACCCTAGTGATGCCTACATCACAGCAAACACGCTCACGTTGGGTGTCGGTAATTGACAGTCTGAGCGTGTTCAGACCCGAGCGATTCACTCGTTTTGCTGATGGCTGCAAAGGAAAGAGAAAAGCAGAGAACTGCTCTGTACCAACAGAACAGCAACTCAAGAGATCCAGTCAATTCTGTGATCCAACCTAGTGTAGAAAAACCAAACTCCTTCACTGTCACTCCTCGAGACCCAACACCAGACAGTCCCAATGCACAATTAAAGTTGACCACAAACACGCAACCACTCGTCTCTCTATCAACCAAATTCGACGGTCCACATGTGTCCTACTCAAAGCCAGAGCTAAGCTCAACCCCTCTACGAAGCCCAATGAACAGCTCTGTTAGTGGTCTGGGTGTTCCTGTTAGAGATGTGGAAATTGGAGAAGACTTGGTCTTCATTCCACCACCTCCTGAATTTGCCAACTTGGACTCTGAGGAGGAACCTCCAGTTCCCCCACCAAGTCACCCCGCTCCTGCTCCACCTGTGAAAAGTTCCCCTCCACCTGCTAAAACCTTCTTACCTGCTACACCTGCCCCAATCACCAACTCCCCCCCACCAAGTCACCCGGCTCCTGCTACCCCTGTAAAACCTGCCCCTCTACCTTCTAAACCCTTACCTATTCCAATCACCAATGGCTCTCTGCCAAGCCACCCTGCTCCTGCTCCAACACCTGCCAAACCCTCCCTACCTTCGACACCTCCTCCTTCCACCAATGGCCCCCTCGTTTCCCCCAAACCTAAACCACCCAGCTGTCCTCCCAAGGCCCCAGGACCTCCCCCAAATATCCAGCCCCAATCCAAAGCACCTGTTCAATCTAAACCCACTCAACCCACTGCACAAGTGCCTCCATCCGTCTCCGCTAGCCAGGCGACACTTCTCAGTATCCTGCAGAAGAAGATGTTAGAGATGGACCCCAAGTTCTCGGCTGTCAAAGAGGTGGAGACCAACGGAGATGACTGGAACTCTCCGCTGTCTGATGACGAGGCCACGTCGCCCCTTACCACATACAATCCTATGACAAACCGCAGTGCCACCTTACCGGCGCAAACTCGTGGAGTGGACATGAAGGAGCTGGAAATCAAAGCGGCCAAAAAAGCTCAAAATTTGGCCACTTCGACTAAATCCCAGAACAGGTAAGCTAAAAGTAAACACAAGTAACAAAGTCAAAGTCAACATGAAACTGTATTCACAATCCGTTTCATTTCTGTAATGTGTATTTTTCGAGTGAAACGTGACTGAAAATGTCAGACAGGACTTCATACACGGGGGAAAAGAAAATATTCACATTGTGAGGTATAAAGTCACAATTGGGAGACATTTAGTTGCTATTACAAGAAATAAAGTAGCAATTACTTTTTTACTTTGAGGCGGAAACAAGAGACTTAGTGACATTCAGATTATGTACAGAAACATTACATAGCTTTCTTTTGAATAACGCATACAATCATTTAGTCATCACAGTCAACGCCTCCCTCATAGCCGAGATGAATCACCAGGAAGATAAATAGACTGCCTCTGATACTGGAACAACACTCAACAGTTGTTTCCATGACATTTATGATCTAAAATGCATATGAAACTGCTTAAGTTGATTTATTCAGATGCTTAAACAAACCAACATGTACTAGCCGCATTTCAATCCAGCCGATGCCCCCAAAAATCTGATGTAATATTGAGTTATTACTGGTTAAAGTGGAATCAAAACTAGTTCTAATACTTCATGCTTTTATAACTTTGAGAAGTGTTTACTTAAGAACAATGGGGCTCTTCTTTATCTTTCAGTAACGGATCATCAACCAAACAGCAGTTTGGAATGACGTTCACCGTGAGACCAGGAGCCAAACAACCAATAACACCCGTTATCAAAGACGGTTCGTCCTGATCCATTATTCCAGAGACGTGCCTTACCTGTACATATGTACCTACCTGACAGATATTTAATGTTTTGCACCCGGTCTGTAAAGTGTTACTGTAACTTTCTACCTGGACGTTTCTTCAGCCGTCAGTATATTCAGGTTGTGTCGAACTTTTGCTGCTAAAATCGAACAATGGAGCAACTGTGCCTGTATACACAGAAACTTGTTTTAATGTCAAACCTTTTCATTTAATTCAGTTTCTAATCAGTTGTTTAAGAACATCAGTTCTTAATTGTAACTTCTGCACAATATTTTTGAATCCCTTTAATCATTAATGTACAAAATGACTCTATAGCTCTCGATATGAGAGCTTCTTTCAGTGGTGCTGGATTTTTTTCCAGGTCAAAACATTTTTACGAACTTATAAAAAGTATGCCTTAAAATTTGATCAAATGGTTGCGACGCCTTGAACACATTACTGATGGTTCTTCTTAATGAAGAAAAATGCTTTGCTTCTTTTCATAGCCGTTTTCTTAATCAAAAAAAGAAATAATGCAAACTTTGTATTTGCATGAATATTCTGGTTAAAAGTGTATTTGAAGAAATAAGCTAGCATCTGCTACGAACAGGTTTAATTGTGTGATATATGCAATAGGTCAATAATTGTGCTTCATTAATCCGCAAACTTGTTTGTATGACTGTTCATGTTAAATTGATATTTTTGGACATTTAACTTTTTGTTACCCCTGAAAGTAAGAATATAACCGCAATACCGTCTAATAAAGATATGCGAGAGCATAAATATACAGATGACGGAAACTTTATTGAACAGTGAATCTTGGAAATGTGAGAAATATGTCTGTTTGCCCAAACACTTTTTACTTTTTACTTTTAGTCATTTAGCAGACGCTTTTATCCAAAGTGACTTACAAATAAGAAAAAGTAATTAAAACTAAAAGCTAAAACTCTATAAATACATATATATATATACACACACACATTTAAGAAAATGAAATAAATTAAATAAAAATGACAAATGCATACAACAACATTTCAAAACTAAAACATTTAAATGAAAAAAAAAGCTAAAAACAATTCAAAAATATTAAAAGAACAAAAAGGTATGAGTATAATAATGATTCTAACATAACACTAAGCCAAACACCAAAAAACAACTACACATGCGTATGTACAGCCACACACACATACATGTACATATATATAAATACATTCAATATATATATATTATTTCATTTCCATTTTGTATGTTGAAGTACTGACTATATAACTCAAAATAAATAAAAGTAAAACTTAATAAAAAGCCTATATAGACATAATAAAAAAACGAATAAAATCACAATTACTACAACTGTAACTAAAACTAAAATAGATAACTAATACAAATCAAAGTACATTAGTTTATCAGTAATCCTAAAAAAATAACACTGAGCCAAACACACATGCTAAAATAACAACAACTTACTGACACATATTAAGAACTAGATTATAAAAAACTGAAACAGAAGTGGAAAGAGGAGAGATAAGTGCCGGCGTCCCGGCCGGTGGAGTCGCACGGTAGAGTCGATGGTCTTTACACTCTTCGGTCTTCACACGGCCGCTTCCGCGGTAAACTAAGCTTCTTTTTAATTCGTTTAACAAAACTCAAATTGAATTCAGCTGGACACACTTTCCTGTTTATCCCAACAAATGGCGATCAAGTTTTTTCACTTTTAAATCACTGCTGTGAACTGACCAGCGCACAGAATATGAAGGATATCAAAAACAAGTTTTACACACACCAGTACGTAAAGTGACATTTAAAGGGATAGTGAAAATGAAAATGTGATGTTTATCTGCTTACCCCCGGGGCATCCAAGATGTAGGTGACTTTGTTTCTTCAGTAGAACACATGATTATTTTTAACTTTAACCCTTGCAGTCTGTCAGTCATATAATGCATAGCAATGGTAACAAAATCTATGAGAGTAAAAAAAACATGCACAGACAAATCCAAATTAAACCCTGCGGCTCGAGACGACACACTGATGTCCTAACACACGAAACGATCGGTTTGTGCCAGAACTATGTCCAACTGTCTTTGGGCGCGGGCACGGCATCCATTTTTATAAAATAAACAGTTTTGCAGTCTGTCAGTCATATAATGCATAGCAATGGTAACAAAATCTATGAGAGTAAAAAAAACATGCACAGACAAATCCAAATTAAACCCTGCGGCTCGAGACGACACACTGATGTCCTAACACACGAAACCATCGCTTTGTGCCAGAACTATGTCCAACTGTCTTTGGGCGCGCGCACGGCATCCATTTTTATAAAATAAACAGTTTAAATAAATCACAAATTAATATTATTCAATCATTAGTAAAATACTCTAAGATTATATATTCATATATTTTAGTCACTAAATTTACATCACATATGAATAATAAATTATTCATAATTAATAACTTCTTAATTATTAAAATAGAATATGTGTACATATATTTAATCATTAATAACCATATATATATATAGATATAGATAATTCACATTACTTATACATATACATATAGTTTAAATAAGTAATTCATAATTCATGTAACTACTGCCCTATGATAATAACTGTAATGACTTATAAAGGTAAGTTTTCCTATTATTATTAATTCAGTAAAGCTCAACTCAGTCTGCTTTATGGAAGTATTCTTCCCTTTCAGTTTCTCTTCAAATAAATGCTTCAATCATGAGTTCATGAACCAAACCAACCTGATCCAGATGAATCTCATCATATGACTCACGGCCGAGAACCAAATCAAGACGAGGACAAAGAGCGCAAGACGTCTCACAAACATAAATATTCAAACCGCATGGATTATAATGCTATTGATAATCGACGGGTCTGTCGGTCATTCGTCTGCAGTGACGTCACTTCCTGTCTGCTCACCGTTATACGAGCTGATGACGGCCTCCTGGTTCAGATCCCACGCTTCGATCCTGAAATCAGAGACAGATTGAGTGCACTGAGATGCTGATGAGACTCTCACAGACTCACAGCGCCGCCTGCTGACCTGCAGTCCACACTAACACCCGTCACCACATCATCATGCTCGTCCTCCTGACCCCCCCACACACACACACACACACACACTCTCTCTCTCACACACACAAATAATGGTTTTCTATGTGAATATCTGTTAAACTGTAATTTATTCCTGTGATGCGCAGCTGTATTTTCAGCATCATTCCTCCAGTCTTCAGTGTCACATGATCTTCAGAAATCAGTATAATATGCTGATTTATTATCAATGTTGGAAACCATTTAGCTTTTTTAATTACTTTTTTGTTGTTGCTTTTTTTACTTTTTACACTCTCTCTCTCACACACACACACTCACACACACACACACATTCTCTCTCTCTCACACACACACACACACATACACACGCATACTCTCTCTCTCTCACACACACACACATACACACACACACTCTCTCTCTCTCACACGCGCACACACTCTCTCTCTCTCTCTCACACACTCACACACTCTCTCACTCTCTCTCACACGCGCACACTCACTCTCTCTCACACACACTCACTCACTCACTCTCTCACACACACACTCACTCACTCTCTCT